AATAAATGAAAAAATAAATTAAATTATGCTAACCAATGAGAAAAAATATTTAATCACATCAACCAATGAAATAGTAATATTAATATTAGATTAAAATTAAATTGATTATATAAAAATTAATGGGCCAATGAGAGAGAATAATTAACATTATACTAAAAGTATATTACCTAATGAGGGAGAAGATATTTGTAACCAATCATCTTCATTCTACAAGATTTATAAATATATATTGATGATTATACATGTATAAAATCAATTAACAAGAAAATGCACAAATTGAATTTTTTTCGGTTACCTCAAATCTTTGAGAGATCAAAGTTTTACCCCTCGATAACCAATACTTCCAAAGCTTCAATTAGCTCAATTGGTGCCAAGAAATGGTTAATCTACAATTAATCATATTAATTATCATTAATATCACTATTAAGAAAATTTTCACCATTTACTCAAGACTTCCACAACTACTAAAAATTCCAATCTCTTGCATTCAAATCTACCCAGAGTTTATTAGCTTCCTTTGACTCATAATAGTTCTACTAAACTTTAAAGCTATTATTAATGGCTATCCAAACAACTTTGACAACCTCAATAATGGAAAATTTTTGGGTATTTATTACCCTACAACCACCAAACTTATAGTCATTAATACTAGGTTTAAATAACCTAAACAACTCCCATCAACTCCATTTATGTCAATGTGTTTGAATCTATGATCATTATGGATTGAAAATCACCATCCTAATACAAATCCTAGCTTAAATCTTAAAAAAAAAAGGAAGAGGAAGAGAGGAAAGAGCTTAGAGATCTTACTTCTGGTGTTTGATGTTTTTAAAATACTCTTAAACCTTTAATTTTGTAAGCTTTAACAAAGCAATTCCCCAACTCTTTATTTACTCTTTGTATCTTTCTCTCTTTGAAATTCTGATATAGTCTTATGATTGCAAAATTTTGATCATGTGTCGTGGTGCATAGCATAGAGAGGCCTTTCTTTTGTAAGTTGCCACACATGCACCACAGTGAATGTAGTTAATGCCGTAGCATGTGATACAAACCCATTCTTCTCTAATTTTCTCCCTTTTTAGGATTCGGGTAACTTGACTTTGCTTCAAACCTGAATCTAAGGCTAAAATCACAACCTAAAACAATTGTTAGACCCTTTTGGCCACACACTATATGAATTCATTTAATTAACCTATTTTAGCTTAGCTAAAAAGTGGTTAAAATTTTGAGATGTTATGTGCAACGGATAGGACGAGCTAGACTGTAACCCATCTTGCTTTGTTCAAAATGGATTAGGTAACCCATACCTATGCATGGCCCATTTTAGCTTGTTTGAAAATGGGTTGAGCTAGTAGCTCGTTTTAAAGGCTACGTTTTTTTTAAAAAAAATCAATCAAGGCCTATTCTACACTTTCGGTTCTACCTGATATTTCAATATAAGGTTTCAACATCAACATAAGGATCTAAAATGTTAGTTACATATTATAGTCATCCAATCATAATTATAATCTTCAGTGCTTGCAATTGTGTGAAGGGGGTAGGTCTATTAAAAATCAAGTTAAAATCTATACACTCGATAAAAAGGCATGGCCACATTTTTGAGCTTCCTAAAAGATTTGACTATTATAGTACTCTGTGTTTGCGTGCATATGTGTTTGTGTTTTTATAGCTTCGAAGTTCAAATTCGATGGCGACTAAGGAGTTTTGACACCATAAGCTTGAGAGATGAGGAAGACAAGGTCAAAAGGGGAGTTGCTGCTAAAATTATGAACTCAAACTAAAGGCCAAAGCAGAAGGATTGCAAGTAAGTGATACAATTATGAATATGAGAGAGTAGATACACAAGATTAAAAGGCCAAGACTTGAAAGCGACTGAGCAAGGCAGCAAGTGGTGATAAGGTTTTTCAAATCAAGGGTGAAAGGAGTTAAGGAAGGCTAAAGGATGAAGAAACATGCAACGTATACCTCTTGTCTCTTACTCACCTCTTCACATGTTTTTTTTTTAACATGTATATAGAGGCCTATATTACGAGTTGGGATGGACAACACGAAAGATAACATGTAACTTGTCCTACTTGTTAACAATCAACACATGTTGGCCCATATATTCGGCCTGCCCATTTTTTCCTTTTAATAAGTGGGTTTTAGCCAATCCATTTTTGGAAATGCATTTGGTCTCATCACCTTGTGGAGTGATTTGAGCCCTTCATTTCTCTTCAAATAATCCTTGTCATTGATTTAAAATTATTTCTTGAATATTTTAATATCATATTTATAAAAATAAAATATATAAGAATTATAAAAATTATGATATTAAATATGGACTGTTTTATATGTTATTAGAGAATAAATATTACAATACTCATCACCCCTAATAAAATTTAGATAGTCCAAATTTAAGCTTTTTACTTTTATTTTATATTTATTGAAATAAAAAATGTGTAAAAAATATAAAAGTATTTAAAAAATTTGTTTATCAATAATCTGGGTAGTACATATTTAATCTAAATGATCCATTTTAATATTTTATTACTAATTTTTACAAATTGACTATCTAGGTGCGCTATGGACAGTACAAGTATAATTTAAAAAGTTTAATTTAATATTAAAAATTTTATAATTTTAATTAATTGATCATTTAGATATACTCTAAACAATTCATATTTAACATTGTAATATTTCATAATTTTATTTAGATAAATTTAATTTAAAATTTTTTTAAAATAATTTTAAATTGATGGTAGATATCATTTGAAAAAATTGAAGGGCTTAGATCAACCCTATGGGGTGATGAGCACCAAATGCGGTTCTCCCATTTTTGTGTGGGTACAAACAGGTTTGACAGGTTGTGAGTTGTCTGTTCATCCTAAGTGTTGAGTGATGATATTGTCAAATTCTCTATAATGTATCTGAAATATCACTCTCAAGTACATTTTATTTTTATAAAGTTAACATGATAGTGATTATTTTATTAACTCTTTCCCAAAATAATAAGATGATTTATAAACAGACTAATGTTTTTATCATCATAAGAACATCATTTGGCCATGACCAAATTTGAATTTTAAATTTTACGATTAAGACCTTGTTTCTATATGCTAAAAGCAATACTCAAATTCATCTCGAGTGTCACTTGAAGCATCATGTTTTCTATGAGTGCAAATAAGTTATAGTCATTGGATATGGAGAAATGGGTAGAAGAGACTCCCAACATTAGCGCCATGGCATGTGTCCTTCGCTTCTATATAACCTAATATGATGTAATTGCTTATAATTAAGCATCCATCAAGGTTGTGGTGGAATTATATGAGATAAATACAATAATTGGAGGCGGATTTATTATGAAGCTGGGATATTAGCCTTGCACTCTGGATGAAACAGTAAGTAAAATTTAAATCTCAATTGAAACTTTGACTTTAGAAGGGTTAAATTGTTTTCGAATTCAACAAATGACATTGAGAATATAAAAAAATATTAAATTGTTTTCTAATTCAACAAATGACATTGAATGTATTAAAAAAAATTAAGACAAGTTAAATTCTGCTTTTGGAGTCTCAAAAAAATATTAAAAAAAATGCTCATGCAAGATTGAGTAATATTGTACTCCTTCTATTAAAAAAATATAAGATATTTTTGAGTGATTTGATATTAAAAAATATAAGATATTTTTAATTTTTTAAGATATAATTATTGATTTTTTTTAAAAATACTCCTATTAAATAAATCACTTTATATTTATTTTTATATAAAACACCTTATTAAATAAAAATAAATACAGAATGATTTACTCAGTTTAAAAATAAATAATTATTTTATTAAAAAATAAAATTTAATTAAAAATATGTTTAAATGAAAGAATCAAAGAAGTACATATTTTGGGAAGCAAATACTTGCATCATCGACTTACACGAAATACATCCAAACCAATAATTGATTGAGTGTGATTACGAAACCATCTCGAGTGTATCGCCCTCGTTGGCTACCATCAAAGTCACGGTCCCACAGATGTTGGTTGGCTTCCCACATTTTTTCCCCCAATAATTAAGCCTTTTTGGGGAAAAAAAAAGAAATTCAAGCACCCATCTTAAAAAATTATTTTAGTGCCAAAAAGTTGGAGATGCAAATAAAAGGAACAACTCAAACATGTCAATTTTGAAATAAAATTTGCAAATCAATCTAAATTATGAATATTAACGCTTCTTTTACTACATTGTGAAGGTTTTCATTTTGCTAATAATCCTCATCAATCAACGATAGATGCAGTTAGGCTAAAGATGAATGGGTCTGTTCTCAATGATAGGCGTAGTACTTGTGGTGATATCATGAGAGATAATATTAAGAATTGGATTATTGGTTTCAATCAAAAATTAGATCATGTCTTTGCTTGCATTGCAGACATTTATGAGATTTTTTACGGGTTGGAATTATGCTGGAAGAAGGGATATAGAATTATGAAGGTTTTTTGTGATAGTGCATATGCTATCTCGACTATCACAAGAGACAACCATAGTTACTATCCCTTCTATGACATTAGATAAGCTACTAGAAGACTTTTAATTAGAGATTAAAATGTTAATATCCACTTTTTGTACAGGAATGACAATAGAAATGCTAATTATCTTGCTAAATTAGCACATAGTATCCCTTATAATTTTAACTTGTATCATTTATCCTGCATCTAGGCTTTTTTGGTTCCTTAAAAAGTCTTTTATCTTTTCTTTAGTTTATAATTGTTTACTTCTTGATGAATGAAGTTCTTCTTACTCAAAAAAAAAAAAAAGAGTTTGATAAAAAATCCTTTAAACCGTCTCATTTGCCCGGTTTAACCTGGCCTATTTGCTTACGAGGACCCACATTTTAAGCGCGTGAAAGAGAATGGACTGATTTGAAAAGTTTGAAAGCAGAGGAACTGCTTTGAAAGCTGCTATAAACTATAGGACAAAATATTAATTTTTCCCATTTTAATAAACATAACCTAATGTAATGATAGATCATTTTATGGAACAGAGCTCCTCCCTTGCTTCCTGTTTATCCAGTCCCTCTGCCCCTTGAACGTCGCCTAACTTCCTTCATCGGACATAAAAGACCGGCGATTATGAGATTCCCATTAAAGGAAGCAGCTTTTGTCAGTCGAGGTTTATGACCAAGGCAGCTCTTCAGGTGAATTGAAGAATTTTTTATTCTTGACACAATTTGTTGCTGCTTGGTTTTGCTCATGCCTCCTTCCCTCTCTTCAATCTCCTCTCCGTGGCTGTGGCTGTTGCTTATCTGGGTTTTTGGGCGTTTGTTTGGATTCTGGATTCCCTTTTTGTCCTTTCGCCAACCAACGTATTGATTCTGCCGCCGTTCCGTTATGTTTCTCGAATGTACACCGTTTCAGCACTAATGAATAGAAACGGAGGAGCCAACTAAATACCTTTTTTCCCCCGGGATTTATGTGAGGACTAAATGGGGTTGGTAAATATATGGCCTACTCGGGTTCTCTCTCTTTTTTTTTTTGTGTTATTTTTTTGGGGTAGGTTTCGTGTTACCTGACTTAATCGATCAGAGTGTTCTCATTTACATTTGCAGTTGTTTGTTCTCGCCTCTTGCAATAATAATTGAATCAATTGTGTGCAGTCATCTAGAAGCTATCGGTCGCTCTTATAATGACTGTCCTAGCCTATTGTGTCGACATATATATATCCACACACATCCCTCTTTAATGGGCATTTTTGTCTGTTAAATTGTAGATGGCAGGCCGAGTTACTAGATCAAGAAGACTACCACCTCAGCAGCAGGAACAACAGTCAAGGGCTAGGTGGACGACATCTCTCACTAAGATACTTTTAGACCTGATGGTTGACCAAGTACATAAAGGGAATAAACAGAGCAATTCTTTTAACAAGAAGGCATGGAAACATATCTGTGATGAATTTTACAACAAGACAGGTCTGAAATGGGATAAGGAACAACTCAAAAATCGATATTCAGTTTTGAGGAAGCAGTATACGACTGTGAAGTCTATTCTCGAACTCAGTGATTTTAATTGGGATGAAGCCACAGGATCTATTATTGCCAAGGAGGAAGTTTGGGCTGAATACATCAGGGTATGTTTCTTTCTCTTTTGTTTTATTATCATCACGTGTTAGTCTTTAAGTCTGTTCAAGTCATGCTTCCATTACGCGATCATTCCAATGTCCCTTTAAACTGTTATCTTTTGTGGCAAGATTTCAGCGGTTTTACTTTAAATACAGATTAGTTATTGTTTCCTGTTCAAGAGGTATGACTACCTTCCTCAATTGAATCATTACTGAATCTACTCTTACCAAGTCGTCTTCATCATCTGTTCTCATTAGTTTTTCATGTCAAATTTTTATCATGCATTGCAAATTATGTACATCAGGAATTATATTTTCTGCTATTTCATCAACAGGCTGTTTAAGTTATTGGATTTTTTTTCTTTCTTTAATCTTGCAATATCTTGTCGAATATTGGATTAAAGATTATAATCTCATAATCTGTTGTAAATTCTTCATATTGTAATATTGTCTCTTACTATAGGCCCAGCTAGAAATCGATCTTTTACTATCTCTTTGACCCTATTTCATGTTATGTGATGGGTTGTTTTTATATGGCTTTCTTCTGGTCTTCTGCGCATGGTATTTTCAGGGACTCTTTATTTAATATGCAGAGAGATTGGTCAGCTTTAATAACAACTATAAGCTGTTTAATTAGGATTTTTCTCCTGCTTGGTTTGAGGTTTTCATAGTTATTTTCCAAGATGTTTTCTTCCCACTAAGTTGTATTTCTCCTCTCTTTGTTTTCTCAAAGAATAATTCCTGATCATGCTTGCAGCAACATCCTGATGCCGAGACAGTAAAAGGCAGCGGCTGCTCAATCTATAAGGACCTATGCACAATATTTTCTGAGCCAGCAACCAACGGCAGGCATGAATCTGTGGCTGCATCTGAGGGTGATGGCACTTCTAGGCCTTGTCCAGAGCCGACGAGCACGCAGCAAGAGGAGTCCACATCGGGATCTGATGATGATGAAGATGATAATGATCCTGAAGTGATTCTACCTTTTACACCCACGGCAGGTTGTAACCGCAAAAGAGGACGTAAAGGAATCGATGATGCCATAGCAAGAGCCATACTGGGGATGGCAGCTGCTTCAAAACTGAGAGCAGCTGCCATAGAGCAATATAATGCCAGATATAGCATGGCCGACTGTATTAAGGAATTAGATGTGATGGAAGGTGTTGATCAGCCACTGTATTTTGCTGCTCTAAATCTGTTCAATAAACCCCACGCGAGGGAGATTTTCTTGTGTCTCAAAAGTGATAGACGTGTAACTTGGTTGCGTGGCAAGTGTGCCGTTGCATCCAGTAGTAGCATGGCTTGAAAGAATTGCCTCCTTCGCTCACGCTCAATTTTTTAAAACTGTCAGATTATTGCATTTACTAGTTGACTAGTTGATGATGTTATATCACAATGGTTTCATTGCTGACAATTTGGTCCAGAAAATGGGGCATTATTTCCTCTGTTCCTTGTTGAATCGAAGGAGGGTTGTCTTGTTTAGAGAAGTAAATAGATGTGCCATCATTTCTTGCATATTGAGCGATACTCTCATGTTTCCACTCCCTCTATAGGGTTGAGGACCTGTTAGGGTTCTTTGAAACCATTAGGGTTTCTCACTCCTTTGGGAGTCTCTCCAGTAGGGAGAGCCTCCTCTGCTCTTGGTGGTGGCGAGCTTCGAAACTCTTCTTCACTGCGACAATTGAGGGGTCATGTGGAAGAAGGTGTGTGTGGGTTGGGTGTGTGGATGTGTCGAACCATGGAGGTGGATTTGGGGGTGATGGAGGGTTCAGTGACTTCAGCATCAATGGCGGCGTTGGTGAGGTTGGTTCTGTGGTCCTTCTCCTAGAGATAATTGAAGCTCTGAAGATTGTGCAATTGAAGATTGGAATGAAGAAGATGAAGAATCTGATACGGCCAAAATCTGAGGTTAGGGAATAGCAAGAACAGGATCGATTGGCAGCCATGGTGATTTGCCTCCAGATTGGTTTTCTTGTTTAAATAAGCGGTGCAAATGATCTGCGATGGCCCCTGGTGCAATGATGGGGATGAATGCCAAATTTGTGTTGTCGATGATGTGTTTAGTGGCTATGACAATGAGGTCGATGAGAGTTCCTAAGATGCAGGATTGTCAAGATAAGTTTACTCTTGTTCTTGGTTCTCCCTTGTGCTGTGATTTTGCTTGTCTAATTTCACCTTTTGTTTGCAAAGTTGTTGATGATTTGAGATGGGTTCCTCTTGGATATTGGCAATTCTTTTACAATATTGTGGATCGTTTTGGGTTGTATTTGTTTAGAATTGGAACAGTCAGTCTGGGGCACAGTCTCTTTTGCCCAGGATATTCTGGATGCAACCATGATAGCAGGTGTTTGGATGCTGCAAATGAGAGGTTGCAATTAATTCTTGATGTCTTGAGCAACTCTTTTGGGGCTTTTGGTAGAGTTTCAGTTTGTTTCCCATTAGTTGAGGTGCTTGATGAGAGATGTATATGATTAGTCTATTCAACCTTTGTGGATTTCTTTGTGAATCTTGGTAAGTCACTAAGCATTTGTTGCTTTCTATGGAACCCGAGTATTTTTTTTCAGGCTGTTGTATGGATAGCTTGTATTGCGGTGAGAGGGATGTGCTCTTCAGATTGGGTTGTAATGCCCCCATCCCCATTGGTTTCTCTCCTAGATCTGTCTAGGAATCTGGCTTTCTCTTTACTATTGTCCTCGGTTTCCTTTCTTCTTTTCTTTTGCTGCTGGTTCTTGTTTTTTCTGGATTTGGTGTAATTGTTCTGTTTGAGCTTTTCTTTGTTTTTTTTTAATGCATCTCTGTTTGTGGCCTAAAAAAAAAAAGAAAATACATGTGCCAATCTACTTGCTTACAAAGCATTCAATGAAAATTTGACTCTTCAATCTTTGATGAGCCACCTATTCGAAGTAGAAATATCATGTATTTGGATATGGCTAGATAAATTTTTTTTTTCTCCCTGCACAGTTGTGTGGCCATGTATTGAGGGAAAAAAAGTATGGCTGTCTTTCTGAAGTGTTGTTGCTGTCGGGATCCTCCTTGAAAGCCAGTAGAACTGAAGAAGAGGCAAAAAGGCCTTCACACAAAGTTCCTGTTTGGTCGTCTTCCATATCTGAGCCGTCACCCTGCTTCCATTTCTAATAAAAAAAAGAAGACCTGCCCATCCGGTGAATAACATGGTCCTTATAAGTGGATCAATTCCCGTCATCCTAAGGTTGGGCCCTTTTTTTAAGACAAGGCCTAGGTAAAACTCTGCCAAAAGGACAAAAAAAAAAAAGCAATTACGATATCCAAGTCCCTTGGAAATGTCTATTTTGTTTTTGTTTTGTAACTATGAAAGGATACTTTCAGTCAAAACGAACGTAAACCAGAGTACAGAACGTCTACATGCAAGGAAATTTTCATTTGAGTCCCAAAATGTGCTTAAAACTTTATTCCATTTGGGTCAAGCTTCTTCAAACCCATATAACAGTAGGATTGAGCTTGTAAATAAGGAACTAAAATGATAAATTGAGTTTAAATGGGTCAACTCTTAAGGGCAAGGGTCAGTTTATTTAAGTTTGCATGTATATTTTTTGTTCAATGTTAATAACTTTGACTCTTCTTGAATTTGAAAAAAAATTAAAGTAAATTTTACTCTACATCACATGTGAACCTCATATTTGTTGAAGAAGGAAGGCTTAAAAAAAAAAAATTACAACCCTAAATCTCCTAATTCATTTAGATTTTTCAATATTATATTTCAATCCCTTAATCTCATTTGATTTAGATTGGGTATTTGTTGGCTTAGTTGATTCATTGTTTGATGCCTTGTTGTTATTTCATTTGTGATTTTAGTTTATTTAGATGTTGTTTAGTTAGTTTTCTCATTGTTTTTTTGATTGGGTATTATATTAGAATGAAGTAATTTTTTGTTTGATAAAAATTTTTTATAAAAATATTTAAAAGGGCATGAAGCTTAAAGGGTCAACCCTAAGCTTGCTATGTTGATGGCAGGGCTTCGTATTTTAGGGTCATAAAGAGAATTCAAGCTTAAAGGGTTTAACCATTTTAAGTCCAAGCCTATCAAGGGCCGATTCTACAGGGTTAGACTAGCCTGTTTTTCTAGCTCTAATCTCATGAGATTAGAATAAAACTTTCTTATTTCTCATGGCATTCAGACATTTTTATAAGACTACAGTGTCATTCTCCCAAAAAATATAAAGAAAAAAACTAAGTCAAATTAACAAGGGAGAATGATATTAAAGTCCCACACAAGGAAATTAATTACTGTAAGGTTCATTGACAACTGAACTAAATTGCATTGACAATTCAACTAGTTATCAATGCAGTTTAATTCAGTTATCAATGGATCTTATAGTAATTAATTTCCTTATATGGGACTTAACTGTAATTCTCCCAATCAACAATTAAGAGTTCTCAAAAGTAGTATGATTATTAATACTCAAGCATGTAATACAAGTAATGGGGTGGGTTTCTTGGCACAGTATTCGTCTTATTATACAAGTTATTTTTAATATATCTTTATAAGTCATTTTTAATATATTTCACACGAACTAAATTTTTTAAAAACTTATTAACTTTGTCTAAAAATTTCAAAAAAAATTTACTTTATTAAATATATATACTTTAAAAATATATTTTCTTTTCTAACATTCAAAGGAGGGTAAATGAAAAAAATTGTAATAAAAATTTAATGAGATGATTTATAAATAGAATAAAAAAAATATTCTTTCTCTGCCTTATAAATATAATCAGAGAGAGTAAATGTGAACTGTTTGAATTAAATTTGTATTTTTAAAAATTATCAAATCTAAATCATCAAATTCAAATTAACAGTTTAGATTTGCAGTGGTTCCTTCACTATAAGGGAGGAAAGCCAACTTCACAAGTAATGTATATTATATAAATTATTCGCTTTCTTTGAAGAAGCATGATAAATGATATGGATACTGGACTATGCTTAAGGGGCCTAACTTTAGTGCTCATCACATTGATGAGCAGTGTGATGAATTTGAACAATTCAGATTTAAAATATTATTTTATTTTATATTTATTAGCAAAAAAATTATAAAATAATTTTGATAAGTTTTTTATTTTTAATTCAATCTAGATTTAACAATTTAGATTTGCAGTGATTCCTTCACTATAAAGGAGGAAAGCCAGCTCCACAAGTGATATATATCATATAAATTATTCACCTTCTTTGAGGAAGCATGATAAATGACGTGATTATTGGACTATGCTTTAGAGGCTTAACTTTAGTATTTATCACACTAATGAGCAAAATGGTGTTCATCACATTGATGAGCAATGTGCTAAGATCTAAACAATTTAGATTTAAAGTATTATTTTATTTTATATTTATTAATAAAAAAATTTATAAAATAATTTTAATTAGTTTTTTATTTTCAATTTGATCTAGATTTAATAGTTTAGATTTGCAGTGGTTCCTTTACTATAAAGGAGGAAAACCAACTCCACAAGTAATGTATATCATATAAATTACTTGCCTTCTTTGAGGAAGTATGATAAACGACATGCTTCAAGGGCCGAACTTTAGTGCTCATCACACTGATGATGAGATATGAACAATCCAAATTAAAAGTATTATTTTATTTTATATTTATTAACAAAAAAATTATAGAAATTATAAAATAATTTTAATAAGTTTTTTATTTTCAATTTGATGTAAATTGAATTTAAAAGGTCCAATTTAATATTAAATTTTTTATAATTTTTATATATTGATTATTTAGATGGACTTTACATGATCCAGATTAATATCTGATTAAATTTGAACTTTGTAGAGTATATCTGAATAGTCAATATAAAAATTATAAAAATTTTAACAGGAAATTGGACCTATCAAATTAAATTTAGACCAAATTAAAAATAAAAAATTATTAAAATTATTTTATAATAATTTTAATAATTTTTTTATTTTAATAAATATAAAATAAAAATATCTAATAATGCTAGATTAAAATTTGAATAGTCTAAATATCGTCACTATAATTAGCAACACACTAAAGATGAGCCCTATGCTTCAGTGCTTAACGGACTATGCTTCAGTGATTTATACAGAGGAAATGCTTTTCCCTTTCTCCCCTAATATTTTGAGGCATTAAAATTCATTTTTAATTTAATTAGATTATATTGCTAAAAAATTTATAAATTATATTTAAAAAAAGTCAATGGGGACATAAATATAGATGAGTTAAATATGAATGGAATGTATTATGCTTTCCTTTGCTTTGGTTAGTGAACAAGGACAAGATGGAACAAATGCTTTTCTTGAACGGCGGCCCCAATGCAAAACCCAAGACCGTACTCAGAAGTCTTCATCAGATCACCATAAATTCCACTCTGCCTCCTCCTAACTTTCTCCACACAAAAACAAACATATCCCACTATTGTACTGCCTAATGGCGCCCCCCTCCGTTGGCGATGATTACAAGAAGCAGATTGAAGGGGCTCGTAAAGAACTTAACAATCTGATCAAAGGCGACAAGAACCGCCTCGCTCCTCTCATGCTTCGTTTGGCGTAATCTAACGAACGCCAACTTCTGATACATTCTTGCTTTTTTTTTTTTTAAATATTTACACACGTTTATAATTTTCAACAATCGATGATTCTCTCTCTCTCTCTCTATATATATATTTGCTGCAGGTTGCATGACGCTGGAATTTACGGTTTTATTACTGGTGTTGATTATTTGATAAAAAGAGGTCCTAATGGTTCAATAAGAAATAATAAGGTCGAGCGGGATCATCCCTCAAATAAGGGTTTGATAGATGCTATGATTATTTGCGGTGAGTTTAATTTTCTTCCCGGGTTTATTTTACATTTACTGCAGTGGACCTAACAGATGCCGTGGATCCTTACGTTTTTAATTTGTTTTCTTCTGATAACAGAACGCGTGAAGGAGAACAATGACAAAATCACATACGCGGACCTATACCAGGTAATTTTATTATAGTGCTTTAATTAAATTAAAGTTCCTAATATTAATATTTCAAACAATATATGTTATAACTGGAGCGTGACGCATGTTTGTTTTTGTATTTTAGCTTGCTGGTGTTGCTGCGGTTAAGTTGACCGGGGGCCCGGAAATTGAATTTGTTCCCGGCAGAAAGGTACTGTCTGCACAAAGCTCTTTTAATTACCGCGTTGTTTTTTTTTATTAATTCCATGCGCGGCGGTGCTGTATATGAATTTATTTTTCTCTTAACCAGGATTCTACAGAATTTCCAGAACAAGGGCTACTTCCGAATAACAAGCTAGGTGATTTCACCTTCACTGTATATGATAATAATTAATATTATCGGTGATGCCGATGGATGAGCATTTGTAATTGGAAGTGATTGATTGATAGTACTGGGCGTATGGTTTCAGATAAAGCACAGTTGGAGAAAATCACACAACGCATGGGTCTGGAAAAAAAAGACATCGTGGCGTTGTTTGGCGGTCTCCACCAATGGGTAAATAAGACGTAGGAGTTAAATTGTGAAATTGCCTTTATCATGTAGTATACTATAGTTAATTATCGCACACGCTTGTAAATAAATTCATCATGTTTAACTAATACTGATCATCAGGATCCGCCGTCCCCCGAGCCCGCAAAAACTGAAGGCCAAGCAGCTGGAGACCTCAAGTTTGGCAACTCGTATTTCAAGTAAGGCATGAAATTGGTATGGATTTTCAAGATATATATAGAGTATGGGCTAGTAATTAATTCAAGGCAACTCCATCTCAACAGAGGTCTGCAGGACAGGGATAAGGATAACCCTTTATTAAAATTTGGTGAGCATGCATCAACTTACGAAAAGGTGATTATCAATTATTGTGAATTGCCAAAGCCAAAGAGTTGTGTCACCCCCCGGGGAAGAGACTAATGAGAGAAGAGTCTCTTCACTTTTTTCTCTCTCTATTTTCTCCATCTTCACCGTTTAAATTATTTTATTAAATAATTTTTTTAAATAATAAAATTAATGAATGATGATAATGGAAGAAACGGTGGAGAAAAAAATGAAGAGATTCTTCTCTCAGTAATGAATATATATATTAATGTATTATGGTAAATTGGGTTGCAACCAAAACGTGCAGAATGAGGAAGCTTTCAAGAACGATTATAAAGAGGCGCACAGGAAAGTATCGGAGCGAGGCATGCCGGCCAAGGAGGTCGCAAAAAAAGAACAGGAGGCAGAATCTTCTAGGCGTCATCGTGTCAGATTGGTGCAGGGCATCGGAATTGCTGTCGTCACCACTGCCATCATCCTTGGCTTCTTCTTGAGCAGAAGAAACAAGTGAATCCATCACGCGCTGCTTCCCTTCCCAAATAATTGGACTTCATCCGTGTTCACTGTCATGTTTTCATCAATAATGTATTAAAAAGTAAGATGGTTTATGAAAATTTATGTTACCTCTCTTTGAACCAAGACCTTGATTTGTTGTGCTCTTACTCAAGTAAATTAAATAAGAATCGAGAATTCGTAATTCGTTAACGCCCGATTGAGTCTACCACACTACGCACACAGTATACGCACATAATTCAACTTTCTTTAAATTATATTCAACCCCGTAGCCTGATTTTAGTTCAACGTCTAAAATTGTTATGTCCACAAATTCATTAAGATTAAATAACTTGTTCAAGAGAGAGGGGCACTAACTGCAGAACATCTAAAATTTTCCATCTTTCATTTATCCTGATTTTCTTTTTTAACCTAAAATCATTAATGTCATAAAAGACATTGAAGAATTTTAAAAAAATTATGACATTTTGAGAGGCCTGCTTCTCATTTATATATTTTGATGAGATTTTATTGTCATTTTCCTTTCTTTGTAATTTAATTATTTCCCACCAAGTATCATTGATCTATCTCCAGTGCTCACCACACTGATAAGCACCATCACATGTAGCATGATGAGACTTGAGCCATCTGGATTTTGATATAGATGGTTTAGATTTAAAATATGATTCTATATTTATTAAAATAAAAATTATAAAAAAATTAATTAACTTTTTATTATCAAACTTATCTGGATTTAATTTGGAGTGTCCAATTTAATATTAATATTTCTATAATTTTTATATATTGATTATCCAAATGTATTCTGTATAATTTAGAATTAAAATTTTTAAATTGTATTTTTTTAAAAAAAATTGTTTTATATATTTTAATTTTTAATATTATGTTTATAAAAAAATTATTAAAAATTATAAATTTTTATTATTAAATCTAAATGGTGTAAAGTATAAATGGATAATCAATGTATAAATTATAAAAATTTTGATATTAAATTGAACCCTTCAAATTAAATTTAGATTAGATTGATAATAAAAATATTTATTATTTTTTATATAATTTTTGAAAATTTTTGTTTAATAAATATAAGATAATATTTTAAATTTGGATAATGCAAAATAATGATGCACTAGTGCACTTTTTGTGCGATGTGTAACTTCCCTGAGATTAAACCACAATTAATTTAAAATCATAGCAATATAGAGTTTAACCCTCAAAGGATTACCAAAATTGTAATATTTTATAAAAGAAATTTCTCAAAATTCTTTCAAAGGAATCCCAATTTCAACAATATAAATCTCAAACATGATTTAATAAGTCCAAATCAGAGTTTTGAAAATAAAATGGAAGCTAGAAAATCAATTGAGACTCAGAATAATGAGTTTTAAAACTCAAAAAAAATTTTGTATAGAAAGTGACACGTGCGCTGCAGCTTACGGCATGTGCGTTGTGGCTTGTCTTCTCTGTGCCATGTGCCGCAGCATGAGGCACTGTGCATTGCACGAAATTTGACAGCATCAGTGCTATCATTTAACAGCATCAGTGCTATCATTTGACAGCATCAGTGCTATCATTTGACAGCATGGGGAGCAAACTTTTAATGCATCCCAAATTTTCATCCGACGTGGTTTCAAAGTCTACATAGAGTTTTCTCTTATCTAGCTTATGGCACCAGTTTCACACTCGAATTCATTTTTTTATAAGAAGTTGGACACTAAAAGCCATTATGATCATTTTTCACAAAATTTCACAAATGGACTGTCCCAACTCAGCCACATATGTTAATAGTTTATACCAACTATCCGACCATACTCAGTGAACTCTTGCGAACTCCTGCAATACACCACATACAATCAAAAACACTCATCTCATAAATGTTGGATAGGGATGCACAACGGAAGATTAAAATTTTAAAGTCTTTATCCTGATATGGACCAAATGAACTCGTTTAAATTAAGGTGGATAGAAGAGTTATCTTTTAATTTTTCAAACTTGGCGCACATTCTCTTCAAGAGTTTAGATCTCAGGAGCCAACAATGTATATCTACTCACTCTATCAGTATTCACATGAACAGCTCTCTAATTCAAACAGCGTGCTAGAGTTCCCAATGTTCGTTCTTATTCAAGCGTTAGTTTTCTTTTTATAGGGTGTTTCGTAGCTTTTAAAGTATTTTTGTCGTCAGAACTTTTCTAACTCTTTTATCTTTCATAAAGGATGTCCCTATCTATATATATAGTATATGGAGAAAGTTTATCGTCTTTCACTTAAAAGTTCATGAAAATTTAATTAAATTTATCTCATAAATTTAATCCATGATATCATACAACAACAACAACAAGCCTTTATCCCACTAGGTGGGGTCGGCTACATGGATTGCAAGACGCCATTGTGCTTTATCATTTATCAAGCTTTTAGGAATATTATTAATTAAGAGATCGCGTTTAACAATTTCTAAGAGTGTTCTCTTAGGCCTTCATCTACCCCTCTTAATCAGACTCAAAGTTATGTGTTCCACTCTTCTCACTGGTGCTTCCCTTGGTCTTCTCTGTACATGCCCAAACCATCTCAACCAATTTTCTATCATTTTTTCCTTAATAGGTGCTACCCTCACTTTTTCGCCTATGTGCTCATTTCGAATTTTATCTTTACGTGTATGTTCGCACATCTATCGTAACATTCTCATCTCTGCTACTCCAACTTTATGCTTTTGTTGTCCCGTTAGAGCCCAGCATTCACTACTATATAACATTGCCGGTCTGATAGCAGTACGATAAAACTTTCCTTTAAGTTTATTAGGCACCTTACGGTCGCAAATAACTCCTTTAGCTTTTCTCCAATTAAAGCATCCAGCTTGAATCCTATGTGAAATATCTCCACTGATTTTGCCATCATTTTGAATAATGGCTCCCAAATATCTAAACTTTTTCACTTGAGGTATAATTTGATCTCCCAATTTTACTTCCAAATTATTGTCAAATAGTCTCTTATCAAATTTACAATATAAATATTCCGTCTTACTCCTACTCAGACGGAAACCTTTCGACTCCAATGTCCTCCTCTATAACTCAAGTTTGCAATTAACCTCTTCTCTTGTCTATGCTATAAGAACTATATCATCCGCAAAGAGCATACATTTGGGAATTTCTCCTTGAATATGTTCCGTCAAAACATTTAGGATCAAGTTGAACAGATAAGGACTCAGAGATGATCCTTGATGAAGTCCAATCTTTATAAAAAAATCCTTTGTTTGACCACTAGACGTTCTTATGTATGGCTTTAATATAAGCAATCCGTACTCCCTTTTTTTCCAACGCTTTCCAAAGCACTTCTCTTGGTATACGGTCATAAGCTTTTTTTAAATCAATAAAAACCATGTGTAAATCTTTATTTTTACAACGATACTTTTCCATTAATCCCCTTAATAGATAAATCGCTTCTGTAGTTGATCTACCTGGCATAAAACCAAACTGATTCTCAAAAATACTAACATAACATATAATTTAAATTTATCTTATAAATTTAAATTATAAAATTGACATGATATTCTCTCACATTATGTTAGTTATTAAATTTAATCTATCATATAAAATTAAATTTAAAACTAACATAACATAATATAATATATATCATATATACATATTATATTATATATATACATATAATTTTAATATATATATATATATATTATATTATGTTATATATATATATACATATAATTTTAATATATATATATATATATTATATTATGTTATATATATATATATTTAATTTTATATATCATATATATATGCACATATGTGAATATATATATTTTGAAAAAATATATATATAATTATATTTTATATTTTATATTTCATATAAATATATAAATATGTATCAAATAAATATTTAAATATATATATATATATAAATTTAGTAAAAATGTTAAATACTACAAAAGAAATAAAAACTCTTTTGAGTTTTTATCTAATGTTATTCTACAATAGCAAAAATAACTCCTGATAAATTTTATCCTCTAATTAATCTAGTTAAGTTTGGGACAACAAAAAGACCATTTGAGTATGACCAAAAAGAAAAAGAAGATATTGTAAATAATGAAGACCTCAGATATAAGACCTTCACTATCAAAGCACAGGAAGTAAATACTATTTTTCAGAAACTTAATAGAACAACTATTGCAGATGAAGCTCAGTGGACATGCACATAATAATGTTAGAAATCTGATACACACACACATGAATATATATATATATATTTTAAAAAATATATATATAATTATATTTTAAATTTTATATTTCATATAAATATATAAATATTTACCAAATAAATATTATATATATAATTCATTCACCCTATATTACATTCATTAAATCTAGACATATTTTAGATTCAATAAACTTGGATATTATAGCTCAAGTTGAGCTGTTCTTGTGTGCGACCCTGTAGGCCCATATGAAATTGACAGTCGGCTAATTACGTGATTAGCCCACAAGTCACAAGTGGCCTCTAGTAAGACATTACAACTACTCAATTCATATGGGGATCGATGATCTGATGTAATCTATCATGCAACCATATCATATTTCTTTTGTCACGTAATATTTTGATCGAGTATGAGACATGTAATTGTCATTCTCCTTTACCTGATCGTTACTTTCTCGATCTCTGAGTAGATTGACAGTAGCAATAAAAAACTATTTTCATTGTAGTATGACCATACATTTTCTCAATTTTATTCATCGAGGGGTTCAGTAATATCTCTCACTTAATGTGAGAGGCAAATTTCATCTTAACCACTCATATTCCTTTACATGAATATCACTACACTCAATCATAGCCTTTATGATCACTTGATTAAAGTTGACTTTTGATTAGGTTAAAGTTCAATGGTCATTATATAAAAATCCATGATGATTTCAAGTCAAAAGGCTTAGTGATATAATTACATATGAGATAAGCTTATAATTTGTACCATGCAGCTTTCTTATAGCGGGTTGGTCCAGCACCTTATACTTTTTCAAGTGCCTATAACTTTAATTTTTATCTCTATAATTAATCAAAGTTATACTAGTCTTGTTTCATTTATGATCCCTCATAGATGACCGACTAGGGACGTTTAGGACAATCACTATAGTTTGTCTAAAGATATAGTTATGATATTGAACATGTAATTATATGATAATAAAAGA